TTGTGATAGTAGAACATTGCAAGCTCTTGCAGAAAAATATCGCAACGATTTCTTGGACTGGATTCAACAACGTCTTTCTTCTCACGCTACGATTACAGTCCAGGCAATCGTTGCGCGAGAAGAAAGGAGTTGTCTCATACGAAGATTTATTAACAATCAACGGAACTACATATTCAATTTTCCAGAAAGTTGTAAGCGATAATATATGGGATGATGCAGCTTGTGAGAGATGAATTTAATTAAAAAGTAGCTCCAATAAAGACTTTGAGGAAAAAGAACAAATGAATAGAACTATATATTACACGTAAATTACAGTTTTACAGTTTGAGCAATGAGTATGAACAGTTGTATAATTTGCACAGTGCGATTGGTCCACTGTTAGGCAAACATAGGTTCGCCTTCCACTAGCTTTTTTTTTAAATTATAATTTTTATGTTGACTACCAGTATAAAATATCAATCAGCATTAAAGTAAGAAAGTAATGATGACAAAATTAATAAGCGAATTCAATTTTTCTTTCAAATATTACTTTTTCACCATCCAAATAAAAATGCAATCCTTAAGCACTCAAAATAAACGAATAATCAAGCCATTCTTCATAATAAAAGTGATACGTCACGTTTGTTCTTCATCACTCTTTTTGCTTTTTAAGTATTTTTTCTTAGTAATAACACATTTATGTGTTCGTGCCTAGTTTCGTATCTCGAAGCACAAAACTCTTGAAACCACGGTGCAAATTCTAACATAATTGGAAAAAGCAAATAATTTAATTTTGAAAAATGACATTTTCATATCTTTAAATAGGAAACATTTTTCCAAGAAACCAGCAATTATTGAACTCATTTAAGGCCAGCAAAAACAACTGCAGATAAAAAAAAAGACACCGTTCCCGTAATCGCTCGCTGGGGTAATTTAATAACCTTTGCGAACAGAAATTACCGTTCTTTGCTTCGTTTCTCATTTTTTTCAAATTACATTTATTTTTTTCGTATTTTATGGCAAGAAGCATCTTCAGATATATCAAATATTTAAAGCGTTCGTTTCGACACCAATCCGGAATTCTACTATGAGAAAAAAAAGAACATTCGAGATTTTTCAAGATATTTTTTCAGGAAGGCATGGTCACACATTCGCGAAGATATCTTTTTTTACTTCCTTTTTGCGTAGAAAGTGGCATATCTGTCTATAAAAACACAAAATTGAAGTGCGGTATTTCATTTTTGGAGCAGTGCCAACGTTTCAATCTTTACTCTATATTTTTTTATCTTTCGGTTTTTCTTGAAATTGTAGTGTACACTGTTTTTCCTAAAATTGTCATACCGAAAGCACGTTTGTATTTCAATAGCTTTCCGTTAGATTTCTATCTGATGTTTCTATTGGATGGAAAAGGATTTTTTTCCAACCTCTTTTTGTGTGGATTGAAGATAAAGACTTGAAAAAGTTATCGATTTTTTTATTTATTTTTGCAATCGATGCTTTCGATATCTTAAGAAATTAGTAAAAACTTTTGAAAAGCTGTCCCAGAAAAAATTTATGAAAAAAATTTAAAATATAATATATCTTTTTATACATTATATTTTTCTCCCCTCTAACATTATCATGTTTAAACATCATTTGAAAAGATTATTACGTAAAGTGTAAAATTTACAAAAATGAATAGAATTTTAATTTTGAGCATCAATTTTAAGTTTTTAAATATAAGGATGGAAAACTGAAGACTTTTGTTTTTTGAATTCTTTTTTATTAATATGGGACAAGTATTTACTATGAATTTTCCTTAGAGTAATCTAAAACGACTTTACATGAGAGCAATTATTTTTTATTTTTCTTTTAGTTTTTCTGCTTTTTTTCTTCTAATCCAAATAGTTAAAAAACAAAAGTTATTAAATCATTGTTTATTGGATTACTTAAACAATAACGGTTGATTCAGAATTAGTTGACAAATTGCAAAAGCATATAACTATGAATAGTAAATTTTTATCTCTTTGCTGCCAGTTATATTTTAAAAATGAAACCTTTAAATTACCAATGTAACTATTTTTATTAGTGGGAATAAATTATGGCTCAGAAATTAGGTTCTCAAACCCGAAACGAAATTTTAAAGCTTTTGAAGGATGGTTGCTCGCTCAAATTCTGTGTTATAAGTAAAGCACTAAAAAATCAGAAAATACATTTTTCTAATGTATTACTATCTAAACTTCGAAAAGAAATATAATTTGACTGGCATTCAAAAGTTTCAGGACAAATTGTAGACGAAAGGAATTCCTTAAAAAAAAGGGGGAAAAGCTGAAAAGACCTATCACGCTGTAGAAAATTCTCAGCCTCAAAGAACTTCAGCAAAGAAACCATAGGCACCGCAATTGACAACTTGTCGTCAGGTTAAGAGAATTGGCTGTAAAAAAGTGAATAAACCAGTCTGTCTTCGAATGTCTGTTAAAACCGTAGAAAAATGAAGAAAACATTCTTGGTCTCTGTATTTAATATTACGCAGTAGATAAAATGCATGGATAACTTCGAAAAAAAGCACTGTTTCATCTGTCATTCACAACTGGGAAAACTAAGATACAACGTATTTAAAGCAGAAAAACGTCGAAAAGACGCAGCTGTTTTGCAAAATGCAAGTTGTCCGTCAGATGTTATGGTATGGATAGAAATGTACTCTCACATAGCTTAACAAAACCATTTTTTATAGAACCAAAGACTAAAATTGATGCTAAATATTATCAGAATAAAGTTCTGAAACACTTGGTCAGAAAAAGTAAACGTCTTTACCCTAAAGGAAACTTTGTTTTGCACCAAGATTGTACACCAAGTCATACTGCAAAATCAACTATAAAATAGCTGAAAGATTAAAAAAACAATTTCTGCCGCCTGAGAAATGGCTAACAACATCCCCTGACTGTTTTCATTGCGATTATCTTTTAAAAAATAATTGAACAAACGTAAAGTAAGAACTCTCCAGAGCATCAAAACGCAATCAAAGAGGAAGCTGGAAAAATACCCTTCAAAATGGTCAAAAAAGCCTTTTTGGCTCGGCGAAAAAGTTTACGCAAAATGTACTATACCAAAGGAAACCACATTGAAAATTTCATGTAAATAAGTTATTTCGAAAAAAAAATAAGATGCTCTGAAATCGGTCACACTTATTTTGAATCAACCGGTATTTTGCATTTCCCCCTATTTCTATACATTATATTAACACTTATTTTAGCACTTGAAACTATCAATATATTTAACTATCACTCGTTAAGAGCCATTGTATAAGATGTAAATTTCATAATGCGTATAATGAGTTTTAATTTACTATACGATTTTTAAATGCTTAATATAATTTATTGGGCCAAGACTGGCAATTTTAGTAAGTGAATTATCATGAAACAAATTTATCAGAATTCAATAAATTTTTGAAGGATTAAATAAAAATGGATACAGTAACTATGAAAATATTTATGTAGAAAATTGCAAGTAAAATAAATTTAAGAGAGAATATTTTAAACTATTCAAAACTACAGTGATATTAACTACAATTGAAGCATTTAATATAATAGATTTGTATGAAACAGTACTTAATAAAACAAAATTTCAGAATTAGTCTTTTCTAAGAAATGTTTGTTATTTAAAGAAACAATTTTTAAAAAAATATCTAAAATTTAGTTTGTCTGATATTCAATTTATCTTGTAAATAATTCAATTATATGAAATATCTCTTGTAATAAAATAGATTTGATAAGCTCTTTGTTCACACACATAAAAATTATTACTATAAATCTTTAGCAAAAATAGCATTTACTTCTTCACTCATCTAGTTTCAAACAAGTAATTTTCTCGATGCAGTTCAAAAATTATTGTGTCATGTTCTATTTTGTTATCAATTATACTATTAGATAGATGATACAAAGTACTGCGAAAGATATTTTGAAAAGCTCCTTGAAATTGCAGTTCCTAATGGCACCATTACGAAAAGTAAGAAGAAACCGCAGAGCACATAGTATTTACTGTAACTATAAATCAAATGCAACCGCGGAGTTGGAGAAACTTGCGATAAGTGGAGTTTACCAGATAATGAAACTTAACTACGTAGGTAATTTGGGAAATTTAAAGAAAAATGTTCTGAAATGGAATAAAGCTTTTATGGACAAATGTATCTCTCATGCTCGCAATCTTGGTGTTGAGTACATAAGGGATCGGGAAATTTTATAAAACCAGAATTTTGTACGAAAGAAATATTTTATTAGGGCTTAGAATTTCTGTGGCTTATACATAATTAGTTACTTTTTTAAAAAATATTTAAAAATTTTTAAATAATTTTAATATTTGAAGAACACTTTACATGCAAAATTACTCTAATGCTAGTTATATTAGCTATTAAATACAGAAGAAGAAAAGTAGTACATTCCACATAAATATAGAAACAGTTATTTAATCTGTATACCCCAACACATTACCTCAAAAAGCACACTAATTTTAAGGTAACAAATAAAAAAAGTATATAGCTATTAAAATGAGACTTAAAATATCCTAAGTAATGCTGTTTATTGAACATAGGTTTATATCTAGATGTTAACGAACGAGTAAGATAAAAAAAATAAGTCAATACCTACTTCGGTCAACAAAGAAAAATTTTATTTTAGCTACTCTTTATTAAATAGTTACAATTAATATAAATGCGTATTACAAATAGCAGAATCATAGTATTAAGTGATAAAATAGAAAAGCGTTTTTCCTTGCAATTTTCCATTTTCCTTTCTATATATGGTGAGGGGATATTTTTGTTTGTTACACTATATATATATATATATATATATATATATATATATATAACCAGGGATGGACTAATTTCTGAGAATGTGATATATATATATAATATATATATATATATAATATATATATATATATATATATATATATATATATATATATATATATATATATTTATTAATTAAATTTACTTATTCTAATAAAAAAGTATAGTAAAAAGAAATCACATTCTCAGAAATTAGTCCATCCCTGGTGGAATTTGAAGTCACGACCTTTGGATTAGAATTCCAACGCGCTATCCAATGCGCCACAGGGAGACAACGAATGATTTTTCTTTCTATATATGCAGTTGGACTATTATTTTTGTTTGTTACCATTCATTCATTTTTAATTTAATTAATGAATTAATATTTGAAAAACATTTTATTAACATCAGTTGTCATCCACTACAAGTTTTAAAAAATGTATTTGAGCTTGAATGGATGAACAGCAAGTATTTTTTTAACGATTGAAAACTTGGACAAGATGTACATGTATATAATATATATATATATATATATATATATATATATATATATATATATATATGTGTGTGTGTGTGTGTGTGTGTGATTAAAGATTAAAAATTAAATTCCCTATCTATCACTTGACTCATCTTTCTCAGTTCACCTCTTCAAGTATTAAATTAATCACCTATTTATTCTTCCGAACATATGGCCTAGCCAATAATGTTTTATTCCAGATCGTTAGATTTAACAGCCCCCGTATGTGTGTGTTAGCATTAACTTTCAAATGCAATCATAAAACCCACGATACTTACGACATGTGTTTTTCAAGTGCTATCCACTGGAAACCACTACCATGGCATGCTTTTTTACTCCCTGCTCTTAGTGTCAGAACAGATGTAGAAATGACTGAATAAAGATCTTCCTTTTTAAATTTTAATCTGATTTTGTCTTCAAAAGCATGACATATATATATATATATATATATATATATATATATATATATATATATATATATATATATATATATATATATATATATATATGTGTGTGTGTGTGTGTGTGTGTGTGCATGTGTATAGGGAGAGCGGGAAAAAGAACTAAAAGCTCGTAAAATATACTAAAATATTTAAATTTTTAGTTAAAAATTTTAAAGGATTGCATAAAATAATATATAGAGTTAGGTATTATATGAGAACCAGTTCGCTATGATTATATAAAAAACACAATGAATGGGCTATAATCGATTAAATGAGCATGCTAATTGAATTCTCATTAAATGTGAAAACCCATCAAATGAGCTTTTGTCATACGAGAGAACATGCTTAGCGAAATAATTATTTATTTTGGCATAAAATAAATACATTAAATTTCTTCCTATAATTTTACAGTAATATTTAAAATCTAAATATTTATACATCAGCAATTTATTTTATCAAACGTAAAGATGTGTTCAATTAAAAAAATATATTACAATAATGTGTTAAAATTGACAATATTGATAAAAATATATGGATATATGAAAAAAAAACTATGTTGCTCCAAATAATCAATAAAGCTCAGTTGAATTTATTTAATGAAGCTAAATAATTGTAGAAATATTTTCTTATGAAAATAATAAGACTGAACAAAAGTTTTAGAAGCGATGTAAACATGAAATAGCCTTAAATTGTTTAAAATTTTAAAGGGAAAATAAACATCAGAAAAAGAAAATTGGTAGCTTTCCTGATTAGTGGTAATAAGACTTATTGTTCTCAAATTCAATTTCTATAGAAAATTCAAGTATATTTATAAAGAATATATTTTTAGATAGATTGAATTATTTAATTTTTCATGAAGAGGCTAATAATTACCTCAAAACTCTATTTTAATTACTAGAATAGTAAATTAATGTATATAAGGCAAAGACTATATCGACAAAATTATGGTCGGGATTTCTGCTTAGAAATTTCAATACCACACAAAAGTCGTTCAAATATAGATTTTCCTGCTCATTAATAATCCTCGCTTCCGACAATTATTTGAAGATAAATGCTCCTGATATTTATTTCGCTGAATGTAAAGAAAATGAAAATGTGCAGTATAATATAAATATTAAGATCTACTTCTCGTTCTATATAAAACTGCTTAGATTATTTATTTATATTTCAATTGCATAAACATATTTAATTTCAAAATATGAGTTAAAAATACATGTTTATTGGAAACTCCGGTTTTATCACATAATATAACAGCATTTTTGTTCAACAGCAAGAATAAAGTAATATTGATAGCATAAATAACTCGCGATTTTTATAACAATTCGAGATGATAACAATTTTTAAATAATACGAATTCTATTTAATAAGCTAAATACTTTTAACACTAAATTCTTAGAAGAACTGGCTGACTTTCTGCATTGATTTCTAGAGTATAATATTTATAAAAAATGATCCATGTATATGTGAATGAAAAAGTATGCATAGACTATTTGTACTTGCTCTGCTTAGTTTGTTTCTATTTTTTAAGTTAATAACTAAATAATGCAAATGAGGGAAAGAAATCCAATTTTAAAAAAAAAAATTAAAGTAAAGCAAACGAAAGAAATATTGCAAATAAAATTATAGTAGGCAGAGAAATATATATTACATTTTAATTTTGCAAGTAAAATACAGATTGAAAATCCCTCCTTTTCAATTCTTAACATAGAAAACTTACAAAGATGTTATTATCCGTAATAAGATTTGTGCAATACTATCACATGTGTTTTAAAAATGTACATCGTATAAAGAAAATACTTTTGTCATTGGATATATAAGGAAGCTTCAATACTTAAATATATTGTTCTTTTCAATACCATACGAAATAGTAATTTTTTAGAGATAAAAACATCTGTGTTAAATTATTAATGTAAAAATATCTTTGGTATTCATTGATTTTTTTTAATATTTTAATTTCATTGAAGTTTTTTACTCTGAATGCTCAATAGCATGTTTCAAAATTAAAGCATTTATGCATTATTACAGGCTTCATTTAAGAAAAAAACCTTTTGAAATTTATAAATAAAAATTGATAGGCTTGCAGTATAAAGTTATAGTTCAGTTACTTTTGAATTTTCTTTAAAAGAAAATGTGATTGCAAAGAGATTTTTATCATGGAAAAATGTTCTCTTAACAATAAAAAATATGTTTAATACATTTCAGTTGTTTAAAATTTCTTATTTTTTAATGTTTTTTACTTTAATACATGTAAGAATAGTTAATTGTAAAATTATTTTCTCTTTTAATATTCTGATTTCCACACGGCTGGAAACTCTACATGAGTGTAAAGAAAATACTTAAGTTACCCAATAAAGAGTTCTGTTAAAAAAAAAAATTAAGTGCTAAAACTTTTAATTTCTTTATTTCACATTACTTTCGATACAATTTTTCAAATGGAAACTGTTTTAATAACTGATGCAGAATTGGAATTATTATAGAATAAAAAGGCAGTTTTGTGTTTTATAAAGATAAATTTGAAAGCTGCCTTTTATCATTCCTTGCTAAAATAATGTTACAAATAGACATTTTAAAGGATGAAGAATTTCCCTTCTTTTTTTTCTTTAAGTCTTTTATGAAATCCTCCTGATATTTAAATTTCCTTTAAGATTACATAGACATCAAGATAGAGTTTATCTTTTAGTTTTGAAATGAATTGTAAAATTTCGATGATTATATCATAGCTTTCTTATATTGCGCAATGAGAGAATATAAAAGAAATTCTCCAAAGTCAGTAGAAGATCTATTTTTTTGCAATGAAATTTATTCAAAAGGAATTTGGATCTTTGAAAACTTTTTGTATTTTGAAGAGTCTAGCTCATAGGTTACTAACCTTTTTTTTAGTTGACGCCCCTTTCCTAGTGAATATTTTAATACCATCCCCTCCCACTCAAGAGAAATAAGAGCATGCATAATACATGGTTAAAACACGAATTAAATTTTTTATAAAAATATTCTATTACTAATAGTATATACAGTTGAACATCTATATAACGAACCTCTATATTGCGAATTTTTCTGTACAGTGAACTTTTTCCTGGAACCTTGAATACTTCGCGATTTTCTTCCTAAAATAAACTCTCTATAGCGAAGTGCATTTTCGATATAACGAACTTTTTCTTTCGTGATTCAATTTTTGATCTCCCTTTTTTTTAAAGTATTTCCGACAAAATTTCAACTTATTCTCTCTTTAACACATTTTATGGTGGTCATAAATCTTGAACTGGTTTTATTAGATCCTAACTCGCCAATAGAGCTTTGGACATTTCATCCAAGAAGTGCAACCTTTAACCCCCATTGTCCAGTTCACTAGAAACATTTTTGATATCTTATTTCACCCTCAGTGGAGTTGTCCCGTTTTCTTATTATAAAATAATGTATATTTAATATTACTTGTATGTTTCAAATTATAAAATGTCCTTAAAATTCTTCAATTTTTGCATAAAATGCTTTTCTTAATATTGAAACTACATTGAATTCTTCATATTCCTTTTTCTTGTTTTCTTTGCAGTTTTTCTTTCTTTCTTTTTAGACATATAAAATAAACATATATTTATTTAAAAAAGATGTGAATAATAATTTTTTTTAATACATAGAGCTTATGAATTTAAAAGTTGTTTTATGTGGATTATAAAGTATATTAAAAGATGAACTTCTATATAACGAATTTTCTATACAACGAACTTTTTTCTGGGATTTAGTGACTTCGTTATATAGAGGTCCAACTGTACATATTTTTAATTTAGTTTTTTTCTAAAGACCCCATTTTTTTTCTACTTACAAATCTGAAATGGCTATTACAACGAATATATAATTTTAAATACGTACATTCAACATAATGTTAACCAGTATTAAATTTAACTTTTGTTAGTACATAATTAACGTGTTTTCTTTATCAATTTTTAGACTGTATTTGCTTAATCTGCCCTTGCCTCTATGTACTATCTTTTACGTCCTCCCCCCTAAAAGACTAAAACGCCCACAAAGGGGTGTTATCACCCATGTTAAGAACCTATGTTCTAGGTATTGTTATCGAGTAAAATAATTTGATGAAATCTTTAAAAAAAAATATGTTACTTACAAAAGAAGCACCAGAAGAAAATATGAAAAGTTTAGTTAACGAAGAGAACACTTTTTCTCACGGAATAATTTAAAAGTATCAGCAAGGATAACATTTCGATGACATGGGAAAATTAATCGTTAATCAGAATCTTAACTAAAATAGAGTCCCAAGAAAGAAAAGTGTTTGAATAAAAAAATAAAGTTGTTTACTAAGGATCCGACATTAATAATATA